TGGCTCAGTCGTTAAGCGTCTGCCTTCGGCTCAGGTCATGATCTCAGGGTCCTGGGATCGAGCCCCACATCAGGCTCCCTGCTTGGCGGGAAGCCCGCTTCTCCCTCTCCCACTCCGCCTGCTTATGTTCCCTCTATCGCTGTGTCTTTTTCTGTCAAATAAATAAATAAAAAACCTTTAAAAAAAAAAAAAAACTAAAGTGAGATACCATTTCACCCTCACCAGCTGGGCAAAATTTAAAAGCCAGGAAATACCAAGTGTTGGCCAAGATGAAGAGCAGCAGAAGCTCTCAGGCTTTGCTGGTTGGAACGTCACTTGATGCAACTTTTTGGAAAGCAGGTTGGTATTACCTAGTAAAGTAGAACCTGTGCTTTCCCTGCAGCGCAGCAGTTCCACTCCTTGGTATATACCCTAAATAAACTCCTGTGCGTATATTCCGAGCAAGATATATGAAAAGACTTCTATCATATGCTTTATAATAACTAGCTAAACAAAGGAAGTCACCCAAATGGAATGTAAAAACATCTATAGAATGGGTACTATATACAGTGGAAAGGTACTTATTACAGCTATATAAAAAATGCAGAGTAATCTCCAAAACAGTAGAAACAAAGTAACAGAAGAATACACACGCTATGATTGCACTCACAAAAAGGTCAAAAATAGGCACAATTGAATAAGCTTTTCTGTATTCGATACGAAGAGCAAGGAAACAAAAAAATCCAGTTTGGTGATTGGCTCTAGGGAAAGAGAGGGATGCTACCAGGGTCAGTCATGCAGAACACTTTCAAGATTCGGGTTACAAGTGCTCAATTACTTGTGTGTGTTTGTGTGCTTTTTAAAGTATATTTCATAATTTAAAGTTTGGTTTCTCGTATCTCAGGCAGTACTGAAGTTTATGGTACCCCACAATCTGCTCTTTTCTTTCAAACTGAGGGGACTTCCAGCATGCTCTTCAACCTGGTTTCACTGTGCCTCCCTGGGCTCCTTTGTTCAGATCAGTCCTCTTTTCAGGGATGCCACTTTTCTTCTCCACCTGTCCGAGTCTTGCTGGCTCTGCCAGCTTCAGCTGATGGTCCACCTCCACTTTGAATGCTTTGAGATTGTTCCAGGCCTGAGCAAAGTCATGTACACTTTCCACCTCACCCAAACCATTTCTGGGCATGGAGCCTGTCCTGTCATGGGCCCATAGTCTTCTCTTTTTGTGATTATTCTGTATTTCAGATTAGGTTGTGGGTCACCCATTAGGAGCGGGCAATACCCTATCACTAGAAAGGAAGTAAAGGATTTTTGTGGAGTTTTGGGTTTGGTATTTTGTTTTGTTTTTTTGCCCACCTTAAGTTCTGCCAGCATGATGACAATTTAGAAATGTATGAAGAACTGCATTTCTCTCCTTTCTGGGGAGGTTGGCAAAAAGGTATATGCCATTTACTTCTCAACGTCAGGCAGGAGTTTCAGAATCTCTGAGGGTGGCTATAGTTTATAAAAAACATTTAAAAATGCAGGTATCTCTCATTAAACTCAGGAACCTAATACTCATTTATCTTCTGATAACTTGGTATCCCTCCCTCTCTGAACTCAGGAAATGAATAGATTCAGACAGCCTGGAACTTAATGCCTAGTTTCCTAATATAAATTCAGATAAAAAGCCCAATAAAATCTTTATAGCAACAATTAAAGTGCTTATAATGTGCCTGACAATGTGCTGAGGGATATAAATACCTCATGTAGTCTGTAAAATAGCCTTGTGAGGTTTTTATGCCAGTTTTACAGATGAGGAAACAAACTCAGAAAGTTTGAGGACTTGCCTCCAGAAATTCCTGGAAATGCCTAGCACAGTACCTGCCTTGTAAGTGCAGAGTAAGTGATAGCTGTCATTTACTAGCTGGTGGGAATAGAGCAAGAAAGCATTCTGGGGATGGAGGTTAAGCAGCAGTGCCTGCTTTTTGTCTGACTCAAGTCTGCTTACTCAGGACAGACAGGTTTCCACCATATGCATGATGTCATTCACACCACACTGCTGCTTGTCTGTGGCGCACCACCTCATTTCTGATTGCAAAATCTGATGGAGGAAATAAAGGCTTTCTCTCTGATTCTCAGGGAATTGTGAAGGCTTGTTTGCCTTTAGCATCCAACCTGAAAAAGTGAATTCACGTTTCAGGTCTACCAAAATTAGACTCCCGACTGCCTGGACATTGAGTTGGAAAATTCAGGACACAAGAAATGGGAACAAAAGTGCCCTATCAAATGCAGTGCCCAGACGTTTATGAACTGTTCTCCATATGCACAGCTGTGAGCAGTCTGCCTCAAGAGGAAATTGCCTTCCATCATCCAAAGGGACCTGGACCCCAGAACTGATGTTATTTCCCTGCTGAATGGCAGCGGACCATGACAGAGGGAGGGCTCCCCGTGACCTTAGAGCAGAGTCTGAGCACCCCATCCAGCAGACAGAGAAGGTGTTATCCTACTAAGAACAGACTCTTCTGGTTCAGTCTTATGGGGGAAACTTGGTATCTTCGGTAAATGCTAACCCAGTGAGCCCTCTCCACGTCCCCATGCCATCCTCCCATGGAGCTTCTAGTTGGACATGAAGATAATAAAGCCCACCCTGACCTCTTACATAGAATTACATAAAAGTGTATGGACATTATAGGTAGGGAGGGGTTTCTACCTGCCCAAGAATTTAATCCACCCAAATCCTACAGAAAAAAAAAATAGTTAAAGATTTGGTAGCATTGTAGTAACTATTGTAGAATAGCTGGTGCTCTCATGGGCCTTCTTATGTGCCTGGGTAAGCCTTGGGGAACAGCCTGAAAACGGGAACAAAGAGGAACTAACTCCACATATTGCAAGAGCACCCACTGATCTTCAGAAAGTAAAGCTGTAGAGACTGTGTTGCAGCTAGAAAAAACCTTTATCAGTAAGGAGTTGGGTAATTTCACCTGGAAATGTACATATGGTGTGCCTGGTATGTTACATTTCACCTGGCAGGGAGACCTTGGAAGGAAGCAAATTTAGAGTGCCGAGAACCCCTTGGAGGGTTCTAGGGAAGCAGGTGCATATGCAAGGGCACATACAAATATGGCATTCTTCTGGGTTAAGTAAACCAGGCTGTGGGAAATGTACTGCCAGGAGATGAGTGTGCCCACAGATTGCCTGGGGTAAGGGAGCAGATCTTAATGCCATACCCCTGGACGTAGAAAGGATAGAAAGGAATTTGCACTGTGAATATTTGGAAAGGAGAAGTGGACAGACCTGAGGGTAGTAGAGTAGAACCGGCAACTAGGATGCTTGCACAAAGCACCCCAGCAGAGTGTCTTAACCTTTTAACAGGTAACGTTCGAGGGATGGACCATCAATACAATTGTCCTTAGAGGGCCATAGTTCGCAATTGTCCATACCAAAAGCCATGCCTAATTCACTCAGAGCATGGTACTCCTTCCATACTGTAGGGATGAAGCCTCTCCCTACCTATAATGTCCAGACCGTGAGGGTCACTGCCCTGGAAAAAAAAGGAAGAGGAAATAAAAGTAACAGTTGTGTTTTCCAACCTGCAGGCATTTGGACAGGAGAAACAGAAGAGGGAAAGGAAGGAAGGCAGGCAGGCTCCAGGGTTCTCATTTTCCCCTAGCCACCCTCCCCAGTCCATCCAGATCTTGACTGGGGGAAACTATGGAAGACAGATACGGAGACTGTGGAGAACCCAAGAACATCACAGGCTTGTAGACCACTTCCCCAGGTATGACATGAGGGAGGCTTCAGGCTGCTAGGGGAAGCCTTGCGCCTGGCTTTGCATCATGAACAAAATACTGTAGGAACAATAATGTAGCAATGATGGAGGGCAGAATCTAAGCCAGTGAAAACCAGGATACCCTACCCAGTTCCTGTACTTGTTCTACAGGAGATCAAAAGCTTCCCTGTGCCCCATGAAGGCATGAGGAAGTGTTGTAGAGGCTTGCACTGAGAGTTGGAATGAAAAGCCTGCAGGGGTAGGACTTTGTGGCAGAAGGCAAATGTTGGGACCATGGACTTCAGCTCTGGGTGCTGGCATTACACTCCAAAGACCAGATTAGGCCCAGTGCATCTCAGCAGGTAATTATAGGAGCTCAGGAACCAGACCTAGTCTTTCATGGCAGAACCAGAAAGACAGTACAAGGACCTGCTCACAGGGATCCAAGGCAACTCTTCTATCACACAGTCATATTTGTGCCTTGCCTTTCCCATACTCCCAGATAACCATCTTGAAAAGATGAAGGGGAAGGGGAAGGGGAAAGAGAAGCAGCATTTACTTAAGAGAGACCAAGTTATCCCCAAAGACAATGTTTGAACCAAACTCATCCCATCCATTATTTACTGGTAAGTCCAAATCTCCCCTTCACACCCAGCAGGACGGGCTTATGCGAAAGATTAGATTATAGAAAACAAAGAAGCTCCATTGTCTTTGCACCTCCAGCTTATAGGGTGAGTAAACATGCATCCCTGCTTTAACTTTTCTTGTGCTTTAGACTACAAGGCAGTCATATTAAGTGTCCAGTTACAATTAGCCCTTCAGTCAAGCCTCACCGTCACTGCTAGCAGTGCAGCAGGAAATGGGGGCCTTTGTAACAAGAGCAGCAGTGATCCAAGGCAGACCATGGGTGCAGTGGTCAACAGCAAAATGGGCAGGACCCACAGTAGAGCAAGGAGGAGACCAGCAGTGGACATCATAGGACTGTGGTTGGATGAACACTGCAGGGGGCTTGCAACAAACCCATTTTCTCAGGACCTCCTGGTTGCTACACACTGCATTAGGCTGCTAGCATTCCTGCTGCAACAATAGCCAAAATAACAATTTGTTTCTTTCTGCCCTAAAAGGCTGAGTGTAAGCAGTCCTGTGCTGATAGTTCGCCATAGTATCAGGTCCCAGGCCCTTCCCATCTTGTGTTTACCACCCTCAGCATGCAGCTTTTAGCTCCCATCACACATTCCTGCAGCATGAAGAAGAGGGAAAGTAGAGGGCACACACCTCTCTGTTAAGGTCATGAACTGAAAGTGACACATAAAACTTTCTCTTCCATCCTAATGCCCAAAACTTAGTCATATGGCTACACTTAGGGTCTCAGCTGTGGCCACAAAAATGCTGCGTAACAAACAACCACAAAATATCAGTAGCAGCCAACAATAAGCATTAATTTCACATTCACATGTCTACAGATGAACTGGTGTTTGGCTAGTCTATGTTGGATTCAGCTGGACATGGCTCGCTGTGGCTTGGGTTCAGATCTCGTCCTCTGGGATGTATCTCTCATCCTCTAGCCACCACCAAGCTCCCCAGGCCATGAGCTCCTCACGGTAATGACCTTCATGGTAATAGCAGCATATGTATGCCTTGGTAAGTCATGTACATAGGTTAGAAGCTATGTGGAGAAGGTTGCCTGAGAGCAAGATTGGTGACCTGGCAGAGGTTCAAACCCTTTTACTTCTGCACTTACCTGTCCAGAATCAGAATGGCAAGATGAAGGTCTGAGCCCACCAGTTTCACAAGCACATTTAAAGCCTTTGCTTGGATCATGTCTGCTACCATCCCATTGGCCCACACAAGTCACATACCCAAGCTCAACATCAGTGGGTCAGGAAGTATACTCTCACGAAGAGAGGAGGGAAGTAATAAATGTCTTATAAATGTCTATGGTCTTTAGCAGGGTGGCCATATTAACTCCAGTTAAAACTCTGGAGTTCTATTCCCAAAGAAAGAAAAGGAAGCTAGATTTTGAGGATACCCTGTGCTACAGCGTGTATCAGTCAGGAGGCAGTTTCTTCTAATAGTTTAATGTAACCATGGATGTGTTCCCTGGTGGAAGTATCCTTCTCTTTGGCACTAGAACTTACAAACCCACCAAGCCCAAGTTTGCAGAGATGAGAAGCACAAAAATTTCTTTGTAATTCATTGGGTGTAACAGTGAGGAGGGTCATCCCCCTCTTTACCCCTGTTTCCCAAAGCCATGCATTCTGGCTATGGCACCATAGACTGGCTGCTGATTTTCAAGGCTTATAAACTGAGACTTAAACAGGCCCACCCACTGTTCTACCAAACTAGCTCTTTCTGGGTGATAGGACATATGGTGAGACCAGGAATTGTAAGAGAGTGAGGCCACTGTCCCACTTGGTTTGCCATAAATGTGTCCCTTTGATGGAAGCAGCATCGTGTGAGATCAGTGTGGCATGAGATAAATGTGGCATTTTGCAAGTCCATAAACTGGTGATGCTGGCAGAAATGCTGCAGGCAGGAGAGGCAAATCCATACCCATGCTATGTGTGTCTACTCCTATAAAGACAAAGAACTTTCCCCAGCATGTTGAAAGGGGTTCAGTAACTGGGTGTCTGGCTGGCCCCTGTGGAAGTGGTACCATTTCTGGGCGCAACACAGCTTCTGAATAAACAAGCTGGGCACTCAGCAGCAGTACTCAGGGAAAGTGTAGCACTAAATGTCTTATGTTACAGAAGAACAGTCAAAAATCAATGACCTCAGCCTCCATCTTAATAAATTGGAAAAAAAAAGAGTAATTTGAACTCAAACAGAAGAAAAGAAATAATGACCAGAGTGAAATTCAGTGAAATACTAAACAAAAAATAGAGAAAAATCAATGAAACCAAAAACTGATTCTTTGAGAAAAAAAAAATCTCTTCAGTTGTTAAACTGGTAGTCGGATGATCAAGAAAAAGTACAGAAAACACAAATTACCAATATCAGGAATGACTGAGTTGACATCATCACAGTTTTTACAGATATTGAAAGGATAATTTAGAAATATCATGAACAACTTTTTTTTAAATATTTTTTATTTATTTGAGAGAGAGAGCAAGCACGAGTGGTAGGAAAGGGCGGGAGGGAGAGGGAGAAGCAGACCTCCGCCGAGCAGGGAGCCCCATGCGAGGCTTGATCCCAGGACCCTGAGATCATGACCTGAGCCGAAGGCAGACACTTAGCCACCCAGCACCCCTCATGAACAACTTAATGCCAATAAATTTAACAACCTAATGAAATGGATGCATTTTTAATGCTTTTTTTTTTTTTTAAAGATTTTATTTATTTATTTGAGAGAGAGAATGAGAGACAGCATGAGAGGGAGGAGGGTCAGAGGGAGAAGCAGACTCCCTGCCGAGCAGGGAGCCCGATGCGGGACTCGACCCTGTGACTCCAGGATCATGACCTGAGCCGAAGGCAGTCGCTTAACCAACTGAGCCACCCAGGCGCCCCTTTAATGCTTTTTTTTTAAAAAAAGATTTTATTTATTTGAGAGTTCATGAGTGGGGGGGAGGGAGAGGGAGAAGCAGACTCCCCTGCTGAGCAGGGAGCATGTCCTGGGATCATGACCTGAGCTGAAGGCAGATGCTTAACCAGCTGAGCCACCCAAGTGCCCCGAAATGGATGCATTTCTTGAAAGACACAATACTGGCAGTGGCCAGATCAGCTTGATGAGGGCAAGTCTATGTTGTTGAGCCCATCACTGTCTCCTTTCCTGTCACCACGGCCACTTTGTAAATGGGTCTGTTGACCAAGCACCAGAGTATCTGAGGAAGAGGCCATCCAATGTCCACTGGAAAAAAAATGGTTGGGTCATCTTGTCCTCCTGATTACTGAGAGTCTCATCTACAACAGAGGCCCTTGGATGAGCATTTATGTGGAACATGAATATCTATACTGTGTGGATGGCAAGAAGTCCATCTTTCCCTTGACCACCTTGTCCCTGGTCTTCTGATCTTACTCTCTGTAAATTTCTGACCAGCTGGCCAACCTGTTAGTTACTACCCACAAGTCAGGGTCGATCTGTGCCTTAGCTGATCTGTAGCAGAGTACTGCTCACTAGAGAACATCCCTTCACTACAGGCTTTTGGAGCCACTCCAGAGTGGTCTGTGGTGCAATACTTCTGGCTGCTTCTGTAAGAGAAGCCCGTGCTTGCTTTTCCTCCACTAACTGACCTTATTTCTTTGGAGGGCATTGGTAGAATGTGGAAGGAGATATAGTCAGGCAGCGGCATTGGATACCAGGGGATTCAGGTAGTTCACTATGTCTTTGGATCTGCCCGGTGTATACCCATTTCTATTTTATAATGGCAGGCTGATATGCCTCTCCCATTTTATGGCTCACTGGACTTGATAATACACAGTTTGTGACAGGTACTTCAGGTTGGTTGAATCTCCTCATGTCTTTATCCTCCTCTACCTGTGCTTTATCCCACGCCACTCCCAGGGATGATTTGCTTATATGTGATGACACTGCATGTTATGGATTGCCACGGTCCCATTTCACCACAGCACAGAGGTTATCCATGTCTTCCTCAAAAATGTGAGCAACTCAATTCTGGAACCCTTTTTTTTTTTCAACAATTCTATATATTACGCAGTGCTCACCACAGGAAGTGGAGTTACCATCTGTCACCCTACAGTGTTATTACAGTATTATTGACTACATTCCCTATACTGTACTTTTCATCTCCATGACTTATTTTATAACTGGACATTTATACCTCTTAATCCTCTTCATCTATTTCACCCATCCCCCTACCACCTCCCTTTGGCAACCACCAATTTGTCCTCTGCATTTATGAGTCTGTTTCTGTTTTTTGTTTGTTGTTTGCTTGTTTATATGTTTTGTTTTTTAGATTCCACATATAAGTGAAATTATATGGTATTTGTCTTTGTCTGACTTATTTCACTTAGCATAGTACTCTCTAGGTCCATCCATGTTGTCACAAATGGCAAAATCTCATTCTTTTCTATGTCTGAGTAATAGCCCATTGTGTGTGTGTATGGAATCCTATTTTAAGACCACTCCTGATACTAATTAGTGTACCAGTCAGGTCCCAAAAAGAAATAAATGGCACACTCAAAATGGATACCTCTAGGAGAGTTTGATAAAGGAACTTTTTGCAGAGTCATGGTCAGGAAATAGGGAAACCAAAAGGAATGTGCAGTAGTCCAGGACTGACAACCTTGGGGAGCAAACAGCCCTAGGCCATGACGGAGCAGGGAGACAGAGGATTACTGGAACCAGAGAAGGTAAGTGAAGGAAAACGCTGCCTGAAAGTAGCTATAGCCTTTGATAGAAAGGAAGTTGGCCCTCAGCAAACTCACAAGAAGGGAGGCAAGCAAATAAATACCCTGACTTCAGTCTCTTCCTACTCTGATCTCCTGCTGGTACCTCCCATTGGCCAACCCCAGTAGAAAACCAGAGGGCAAAGGGAGCCTATTCAGGTAATCCTTGAAGGTCAATACCCTGAGGCACAGAGCCTGGGAGAGAACCAGGGGAAGAGATATAGAGGAGGAGACGGATCTCTATCTAGGACACAACCCAAACAAGTTTAAACAAACAGGTAATTTACTGGCTCACATGTCTGAAAAGTCAAGCTGTAAGCCTTGAAGCAGGGGCTCAAATGAGGTAATCAGTATCTGGTTTTTCCTCCATTCACAGGCTTCATATACAGGCGGGCTCTCCCATCATGCTCCAAAATGGCTCCAGAGTGCATGGCCTTTTCAAACACAGTGGAATCTATCAAAGGATTCATTGGGTCTCATTGACTCTTGTTGGGTTACATGAAACACCTGAACCAACCATAGTGCTCAGCACCAGGAAGTGGTGGTTGTCTTAGATCTCTGTCTGGACATAGCACTGAGTGGAATCATGACATGGAACTTCAATGACTAGGAGAAACGTTGATGTTGAATAGCCAAAACTCTGTGCACCCTACATCTCTCTTCTCTAATGTATGAGGAAGAACTGTTCAATTTTTTGTACCTATGGATTACCCGGGGATCCTATTAAAGAATCTGATGAATTAGGTCTGGAGTGGGGCTTAAGATTCCTTATTTCTAACATGTGATGTCAATGCTACTGGTCCAGGGACCAGACTTTGAGTAGCAAGGTTTTATAGCTACATAGTCCAATATGGTAACCAACAGCCACATGTGTGGCTATTGAGCATTTGAAATGTGGCTAGTAACTTGAGATGTGCTGTAAGTGTATATACACACTGGGTTTTGAAGACTTAATATGAAAACTAGTTAAAATCTCATCATGAGGGCGCCTGGGTGGCTCAGTTGGTTAAGCGACTGCCTTCGGCTCAGGTCATGATCCTGGAGTCCCGGGATCGAGTCCCGCATCGGGCTCCCTGCCA